CGTCTACGGATTAGCTAGGTGGTTGGTGGAAGGTCAGAACTTGGTTTTACTTACATTTTATCTGCCTCATGCCTGTACTATTTATTAAATGAATGCACAAGAGGTGTTTTTATTCCAACAAGAAAATTATTCTATGTGATTATTGAATGAATAGACACATTCAACCAAGTTCTTCTGGTCTGGACCAGCCTGGCTGATTTCTGTGACTTTTTTGGGCCAACAGGACAGTAGCAAATGTGACTCAGGCCGAGGTGACTTAGGCCGAGGCTTGATAGGTGCCTGAACATTGGAGTCTTTCTGTGAGGGTCCATGTGCTTCAGTAAACACACCAGAAAATAAATTTCTGGTTTTTGTCCCCAGTAGACTACACCCTCGTTTGATGTTATCTTTCACATGCCAGCTTTAGGACAGGTACATCCTTCGGCCTATTTGTAGAATATTCCATTTTCTCCATCTTTTCTTTGCCAGTGCTACATTATTTTAATTATTTTGCTGCAGAATAACTTTTATTATTTGATAGGGCAGATGTCACTTTTTATATTTAGATGTAGCATTCATTTATTTAACAAATGTTTGACCACCAATTGTATATCAGATTGTGTTTTAGGTGCTGGAGATACAACAGTGAACAAGATAGGTGAAGACCTTGCTTTTATAAAACTTATTTTTTAGTGGAAGAGAGACAATTCAAAAAAACAAATGTACAGTTTTTCAGGTGGAGAAAAGCACCGCAGAGGAAGATGCTAGCAGGGCAAGGGATCTGAGTGCAGTCAGAGCTTATGTGGGTCCAGAGACTTCATTCCTCTGTCTCTTCCCTTTCTACAGAAAGAGACTAGTAGAGAAAATGGTAGCATTGGTTACCTGTTGGGAGGGAAAGCGGGTGGTCATGGTAAGCGAGTAGCGAAAGACTTCACAGTATACTGAATTTTTTTTTAAAGTGAGACTTGAGCTATTCCTTCTAGCTCTGATAATATGGTACAGTATTATTTGTTTTGTTGTAGTCTTTCTGGGCACTTTTTAAATCCCCATGAGCCGTTAAAAAAATAACTGAGTTGTAATTAGGGGAAACAAATTGGAAAATACATTTCCCTTCACTTAACATTATCTTAGCTTCTCTCTCTCTCTCTTTTTTTATTTCCTTGAGGTGGAGTCTCGCTCTGTTGCCCAGGCTGGAGTGCAGTGGCGCGACCTCAGCTCGCTGCGGCCTCCGCCTCCCGAGTTCAAGCAATTCTCCTGCCTCAGCCTCCCAAGTAGCTGGGATTACAGGCGCCTGCTACCACACCCAGCTGATCTTTTGGTATTTTTAGTAGAGACGGGGTTTCACCATGTTGGCGAGGCTGGTTTTGAACTCCTGACTTCAAGTGATCTGCCCGTGGTCTCCCAAAGTGCTAGGATTACAGGTGAGAGCCACTGCACCCGGCTTTTTTTTTTTTTTTTTTTTGAGACGGGGTCTCACTCTGTCATCCAGGCTAGAATGCTGTGGCCTGAACATGACTCACTGCAGTCTTGACTTCCCTGGCTCAAACCATCCTCCCACCTCAGCTTCCTGATCCTTAGTAGCTGGGACTACAGGCACGTGCCACCAATGCCTGGCTAATTTTTAAATTTTTTTGTAGACACGATGTCTCGCTACATTGCCCAGGCTGGTCTTGAACTCCTGAGCTCAAGCGATTCTCCCACGTCAGCCTCAAAGTGCTGGGATTACAGGTGTGAGCCACTGCACCCAACCAGTTTCTCTCTACAAACTAGGGAAAAAATTTACACTTAGCAGATATTGAGGGCTGATTATTTCTATCGCAGAAGGATTTGGCTATAGAATTTCAGGGTTTAGTAAACTTGATTTATATTGCATTTTTAGGAGCATATCAGTAAATCTAGGGGCATATGCTGCCTGCAAGGTGTGTGGCATCACCCAAAAGCCAAGTGATGGAAAAAGCAGGCTGTTTGTAATCAGGCAGATCTGGCTTCTATCAAATCTAAATCCTGTTATTTAGACTAGTATCTTAAGTCTATTATTATTAAGTCCAGTTTCTGACTCTATTAAATTTGGTGAACAACCTTGGTAACTTAACCTCTGAGCCACAGTTACTTCATCTGTAAAATAGGGATGTATGTATGGTCACGATTTTTTAACCACAACTTCCCAACTCTAAGATGGTCTGAAAACGATTTTTTGTCAATTTGGCTCAAAATCGCTTGGCAGCAAAACCTGCCTTGAAGTTGAGGCTTCATTCATCCCACTTAGTATAAATATTCAAATGTTTTGCTAAAGAAATAATTATGAGATGCTACTGCACACTGACTGGGGTTGTATATGCGTTTTATTACCTATTTTCTAAAACACTAAAAATGCTGAATTCTGCCCCAGGTCTTGCCACAAATGTTTCAGTGGACTGTGGGCCTTTGAGACCTTAAAGGGTTGAGTAAGGATAACAGGCGATGTCCACATTGTGCTTGGCATGGAGTTAGGTGCCTGATAAATGGTGGTTATCAATCTGATTATGTAAATTCAGTTCTCAAGTTTGTGGTATTTTTCCCGTCCTGGAGAAACCTATTCTATTTTAAAGTGAGGAAGGCTGCATAGAGGGCCGGTAGCTGCTAGCTGTTCACTTGTGGAACTTTCAGCCTGAGGCTGGAGCCCCTTCCTGGGAGTCTGCTCTTGTCCTCCTGACCACCCCACACCCCTCCTCTAAATTCCCTCCATCCCTGTTTTCTCCCACTTGCGAGCTCTTGGGAGTGCCCTGAATCTCAGACTGCAATAGAAAACCCAGGAGGGACAGGCAGCAGTAGCCTGAGCTTTCTTTCTCCCTTAGCTCATGGAAATTTTTAGTGAGTGGTGTTTTCCATAGTGTGCTTACTAGTTGTGTCTTCCTGTTTTGTTCTTGGTGATTTGAAGAAACTGTTGTTACAAGGTAAGGCACTGAAACAAATGGGTGACAGGAAAAAGAGCAGCAGGGGTATGAGCTGGAGGAGTAAGTGGCTTAGCTTGCTCCCCTTCAGAGTGGAGAACTGTATGGAAAGGAGGGGTAGTGTTCTTGAGGAGTGTTGGTGTTCAAATCTAGGGGGACTGTGTCTTGGCATTGATTGAAACTCCTGGCTTAACATCAGCACCCAAACTCTTGGTTGGACTGAACATGACATTTGGCAGTGCAGTTAAAAACACTGCCTGCTGTAGCCTGGTAATGGTCAGGCTATGTGAAGAGCTGATCTGGAGCTCAGTCCGGAGCAGCTATTCTGTTTCTTTCACTCTGAAATCTTGCCTCCCCATATTTTGAGAGGGAAGGAGTTGGTGAATTGTTTTAAAATACTCGATGTATGTCTTCATTTATTCATCACACCTTCACCAAATATGTTTATGTGCCAGACACTGAACTTTACTAATATTATGGTGCCCAGTAAATATTTGTTTTTACTAATAATTTTTATGGCAATAAAATGACTTTTTCAGAATTATGTGATTTAAAAGATTGACTATTTTGGCAAAATAATATGTATTCATGATAGGAAATGTACACAAATGAAAACAACATAGTTCACCTAAACCCCCCACCAGAGCCCAGGGTTCATTGTTACCGTTCTGAAGTGACTGTGGAATTTCCTAGCAGTGGATATGCCATATTTTTTTTAACCACTCCTATTAGATATTTGTGGGTTTTTAAATTTTTATTGAGATGGGGTCTCACTCAGTAGTATACAATATCATAGTTCACTGTAACCTGTATCTCCTGGGCTCAAGCAATCCTCCCACCTCAGCCTCCTGAGTAGCTAGTCTTGAGTAGCTAGGACTACAGGTGGGCGCCACCATGCCTAGCTTTTTAAAAAAAAATTTTTTTAACTTTTTTGTGAAGACGAGGTCTCACTATGTTGCCCAGGCTGCCCTCAAATTCCTGGACTCAAGTAATTCTCCCACCTTGGCCTCCCAAAGTACTGCGATTACAGGCGTGAGCCACCACACCCGGCCCTGTTAGATAAATGATTCCCATCTCTCTCCCAAAAAGAACTGTTGTGAGACTGTGGGGTGAGGAGAGGGAAGTGGGGAATAGGAACCCGCGGTACTTTAGACTCCCTGTGGGCCTAAAACTGCTCTGAAAAATAGTCTATGAAAATATACACACTTCAAACAGCAACTCTTTCTGATATGCTTGCATTTAAAATGAGGCTTTTTTTCCCTTTTGGAAAAACACAGTCCTTGTTTGCTTTAGGGAAAAGTAAAGGTCAGTGCACTGCATTTCCATTAATTTCGAAGGGCAAGATGAGAAGACAGGAATGGCTGGCTTTCTAGAGAATAGTAGAGGCTTAACAGGTGTCAGAGAAAAACCATAGTTTTCTCTGAAAACGGGTGTCAGAGAAAAACCATAGCTGGACAGTGGTAGTAAAACGGCAAAACACAGATTTTATTCAGAACAACTATTACAGTAAGAGGAGAGAGACCTCAGTACAGAACTGGGCTCCATTCTGAATACAAGGAAAAGTAGGAATTGATGACGGAGGAGCCGGATGTCAGTGGATGGAAAATTATTACGAGGAAACACAGGGGTAAGGATTTTTGAAGGCAGGCCAGAGTTATCAGACATCACCTGAGGGATGCAGGGGGATGTGGAACCTGATCAGGTGTCTAGGGTGATCAGATATTGAAATTGGGGGATTCTAGTCAAATCAATTTAGCAGGATTCTTGGTAAAATTGGGCGATGCAAAGACAGACGCGTTGAGTACAAAGTCCAGGCCTTGTTGGGAAGAGGATTCAGCGGAGCCCGAGTAGAGTTTGGTCTAGGGAGACTCTGTCACTGGGAGGAAAAGCGAGCTGAAGTGCGCTGGGTTCCCTTAGCGGCAGGTGGGTTCCGTTGAGAAGGGCAAGACCGGGAGGAAGCAGGCGCCAGGTGCAGAAGGGGTGCGGAGCGGGAGACCGGGGGCGGGGCTGCGGGCCGGGAGCGGCCTCCACGTGCGGGGCGGGCCCGTTCTGGGTCGGCCCAGCGCGTATTCGAGTAGAGGGCGAGCCCGTCCCGCCCCTTGTTGGGCGCTTCCCAGATCCGCTCGAGTCTATGGAGGAAAAACTCCGCGGGGTCCGCGATTCCCATGGCCGCAGCCGCCTGCGGCACCAAGGCCATGGCCCTCTTCAAGCGCACGTTGGTGCTGAGTCCCGCCGCTGCGCCCAGGGGCCCGGGCGCAGGCACCGCCCCGCGGGGCTGCTGCTTGCCTCCTGCAGCCTGGCCCTGCAAGGACTGGCCCCGGGGAGAGGGCGGCAGGCTGTGGAGCCGCCTGCCCCACTCCCACTCCCACTCCTGCTCCTCGACGTCTCCCACCGCCGTGTGTCTTGTCTGCCCGCAGGACTCGCTCAGCAGCAGCCTGAAAACTTGCTACAAGTATCTCAATCAGACCAGTCGCAGTTTCGCAGCTGTTATCCAGGCGCTGGATGGGGAAATGCGGTGAGTGATGGAGGCAGCGCCTCTGGCTTGGAGGAAAGCTTGTCGGGGAACTTTGAGTGGTTGGAGGCTACGTGTTGATATAGCGCTCAGCGTTGCAGCCTCGTTGCTGTGGCTTGCCCAGAACATAGCCCTGCCCTATGTGTTTACTTTAGAAAGCCCTTCCAGGCTCTTTGCCATCTAGTAGTGTCCCTTTGGGCCCAGCCTTTCAGAGAAGGGGGGAGGGGGTGATGTTTATTAACTTTTTTTAGTCCTGGCAGCTGAACCTGTCTGTGAGCAGGTCGTGTATTTTCTCGGCTTCTCTTATCCAACTTTGCATTTCTATTTCTAGCATATTGGGTTGATTCTTTTGAAGCTATCTCTGTGCAGATTACACCCATGAACTTAACACCAGTTGCCTTTATGTATGATCGTATTTATACCGAGAAGTTACTGTGTTTTCTGACTTTCTTTTCTATTTGCCAAATATTAGTTCAGTCTTTTGTTCTCTATAGTTGTTCTACATTAGTTAAATGAAACTCACTGCTGGGAGTACTAGTGACACCCAACTAGTAGGCTTTTTATTTTTTAATAAACAAACTACAGAAGTTCATTAGTCTCATGTAAGAAAGGAAAACTAATGTAAGTTTCGTTAAGTATGAAAAACTTTGGATATCCTTATAGTTCTTTAGAGTTAAGGGTGTAGATGGGTTTAGAAAATGGCCTGGCATAAGTTATTTTAAAATAAAATAACTTTGGCTGTTTGTTCCAATATATTAATAGGTTTTCCTTTTTTACAGCAACGCAGTGTGCATATTTTATCTGGTTCTCCGAGCTCTGGACACACTGGAAGATGACATGACCATCAGTGTGGAAAAGAAGGTCCCGCTGTTACACAACTTTCACTCTTTCCTTTACCAACCAGACTGGCGGTTCATGGAGAGCAAGGAGAAGGATCGCCAGGTGCTGGAGGACTTCCCAACGGTGAGTGAGGTTACGCATCTTGTCGACTGACCCTTGTGTTCCTAATTGCTAATGTGGTTGTCTGCTAGCCTGCATACTTATGGAGAAAGGTGAAATAAGCAGTTTGAGGGCAGCATAATGTGATGGTTAAGAACCCTGGTAGCCAAGACTCTGAAGCCAGGCTGCCCAGGTTGGAATCTCAGATCTCCCACTTACTAAACTGTTGGTTATTTGCAAAGCCTCTCTGTGCCTCAGTTTCTTCGTCTATAAAATAGGGGTAATAATAACACCTACCTCATGGTATTCTGAATATTCAAAGAATTAACATAGGTAATGCTCTTAGGATGTTAGTTACTGCTGTTATTATCAGTATTGGAAGTCCAGTGTTTCTTCCTGTGGGAAGACGCACTCACATTTTAGTGTTGTAAAAGATTCTCAGGCTAGCTCACAAAAGCCTGCTGACTGTATGATGCATCCTACCTGTGTGACACTGCTGGCCTCTTGACTACCCTGAGCCTGGTAGCAAGGGACTGCTGCTCAAGATGGGTAGCAGCCTGGCATAGGGGGTGGTGTCTGTTGGCAGCTAGGGTGAGGATTGAGAAGCAGGGTGAGCCTCTGCCACTTCACCTGTGATCCTGGGCAAATTCCTTATCTGCTTTGTGTCTCCATCTCCTCATTTGTAAAGTTAGAACTGAGAGGATTGAGTAATTTCACATGTATAAAGTACTTAGTGCCTGGTACAGAGTAAGTGTTCTGAAAATATTAGCTATTTGGTCTATTTTGTTGGAGTAAAGTAGGTTATAGTTAAAATCCTAAGCTTTAAAAAGTCCCTCAAGTTTATGTGGACATCTGACTAGGTCCTACTATCTTAGAATTTGCATGTCTTGAATCACATAAATAACTGATTCTTCCATATCTTATAAATAAAAGTTTGATTTGGCAAAGTCACATGTTCTGTAATAGCCCAAAGAAGCCCTTTTTATCCACAGTTGCCAGAGCTTTTGGAGAACATTCCTTATGTTATTGAAAGAAACCTAATCTGTATCTGAGTTGGGAGGGAGCTAAGTGGACAGATGGAGAGTCCTCCGCCAAAGAAATGAATCTTTGATTCATCTGCATAGTGGGAGCAATATTTAAAAAAAAAAAAAAAAGGAATATTTGGGGAAGACTCTTTTGGTGCAAAGGCTATTTCAGATTGCTGAGATCAGACCTTCAGTACCAAAGCCCAAAATATAGTACAACACGATACAAATGAGAAGAAAATATCTGAAGAATAATTCGAGTTTATACAGTACAATTCAAAAGAAGAAAGAAAATTTATGACGAGTAACTGGGTGAGAATTAGAGCTGCAACCCTGGGAAGGTCCTGGTGATTTGGCTCTCACAGGACACCCGATGACCAGAGGATGGGTTTCCTTTGATGGGAAATCTGTGACCATTCATGGATGGGCCTCTGAATTCTGCCAAAGCAGAGGAAGTAGTCATACCCCATTTATAATGGAAGCACATTCTCACTTAGAAACAACTAATATTATTCTAGCTGGACCTAGCCTGAAATTCCATAGTCACTTCAGAATGGTAACAGTGAACCCTGGGCTCTGGTGGGGGGTTTAAGTGAACTATGTTGTTTTTATTTGTGTATATTTCCTATCATGAATACATATTATTTTGTCAAAAGAGTCAATCTTTTAAATCACATAATCTTGAAAAAGTCATTTAATTGCCATAAACAGCCAAATTACTTTTGACTTGAGTAGATTCATAATAATTAAAAAATTTCTGGGGCATGGGATAAATGTCTTAGGTATTACATAAGTCAAGGCAGCCCTGTCCACTCAGCAAAAGTGAAAGAATATGAAAGTGTGTGAATGCTAACATAATTTTGGGGAATATCACTAGCAGATTTCCAGATGATATTCCAATATGTTTGTAAAACTTCAGTGTCTTCCTTTGTTCATACAGTGTTCCGGTGGAAAAATAATGCTGAGTTCTGGAAGGTTTCAGATGTGAACACTGAACTGATCGTTTTCTCTTTTGGGTAGTAGAGTTAGAGATGCAGTCCTCTGGAAAGCAGAGTTGCCCTGGGGAGAGTAAAAGGGAGCAGAAAGCGCAAGCCAGGCACAGCTATTTTCGCTGTTGTTAACCTTTTGTATCCTTACGAATATAAAGATGTACTAAGTTGTGTGTTTTGTGTGCATATATAATTTTAAGCTGCTTGAATTATGGGTCCCTCCAGTCTGTGATTCAGCTTGAGATGGGACTGTATGGGAATTAATAGTGCCTTGTCTTCTTAAGGAATGATTTGTATATGTGCTGATGTAGCCCAGCATCTCTTTGAAACCAGGTGTGTGGGGCTAGGCCTGCAATCAGCTTTTGACTAAGACGTCCCAGGATAGAACAAGTAGTGTAAAAGAGGAGTAATAGCTTGGCCTCACTCACACAGTACTGCTCTTAAACTTGGGCAAGTGGAACTCCTCACTTTAGAGGGCCCCATGGGGTGAGGGGTCACGTGGGAATGTGCTTATTCAGCTCTCATGGGCTCTCCTACACCACGTTCTGGACATCTGGAGTTCCTTGCCCCGAATCCCTGAGCCCATGTCCGCATCCACACAGTCTGTTTCCTAAGGTCCGTCCATCTCCTCCAGGTGGGAACATGCCACCATTGACTGTGCCCTTGGGCCTGAGTGATGGCCCAGGGCTGTGTTGGGGAGTGTCGTGGATAGATCCTGGCACTAAGGGCTGGGATATCCTCTCAAATGAATGTGAGGTGCCTCCTGTGCTGGAGAGAGCGGGATTCAGGAAGCAGTGGAAGGGAAGAGCCTGGGATATGAGAATCAGCTGTCTGTGCCCTGCTGCCTTTTGGAATAAAACTCTGAGGGACTAAGAATTTTAAATTCAAGGCCGGGCGCGGTGGCTCAAGCCTGTAATCCCAGCACTTTGGGAGGCCGAGACGGGCGGATCACGAGGTCAGGAGATCGAGACCATCCTGGCTAACACAATGAAACCCCGTCTCCACTAAAAATACAAAAAAAAATTAGCCGGGCGTGGTGGCGGCGCCTGTAGTCCCAGCTACTCGGGAGGCTGAGGCAGGAGAATGGCGGGAACCCGGGAGGCGGAGCTTGCTGTGAGCCGAGATCGCGCCACTGCACTCCAGCCTGGGCGACAGAGCGAGACTCCGCCTCAAAAAAAAAAAAAAAAAAAAAAAAAAAGAATTTTAAATTCAAACCTGAATCAACCAGGTTGTTAGGAAAAATGTTCGTCAAGGCAGGAGGATAGAATATATTTTATTTAACAAGTTGTTAACTCGATTGATCATTTTAAAATTTTTAGCTACATGTAGTAGGCCTCCATTTGTCCTCTTATCCCAGGCCTTGCAGGCTTGTTTAGGAATAAGCCTCAATACAGTATTCTAACCAAGTGACCTCCATCTCGATGTACAGTAGATTGAACCTGATGCTTTATGCGTTAGTAGAACTTTCTAGAACTCTCATTGTATATTAGGGGTTCGATTAGAGCACAGTCATGCATCACTTAATGAGTGGCACAGGATACATTCTGAGAAATGCATCGATAGATGATTTCATCATTTTGCGAACATCATAGAGTGTACTCACACATACCACGATGGCATAGCTACTACACGTGTAGGCTCTGGTACAGCCCATTGCTCCAAGGCTGCACACCTCTGCAGGACAGTGCTGTACTGAATGCTGCAGGCAATTGGAGCACAGTGGTATTTGTGTCTTTAAACATAGAAAAGATTTAGTAAAAATACGGTGTTACAGTCTTAAGGGACCAACGTTGTATTTGCAGTCATCGTCGACTGAAACATCATTATACAATCCATGACCACGTATCTTTCTCACCTGGTACTAGTGGAAAGCTAGAAAGCTTAGAACTCTACCTATAAACAGAATTTAAGTAATAATACAGCCTTATTTCCTTATTTTTAAATGATAATAGCGATAATAGCATTCACTTATTGAGCAATTTACTATGAGTTAGTTGCTAAATATATTTCATTGTTAATTTACTCTTTGTATTATTTTATCTACAACATCGTTTAACAGGGAAATTACCTAGTACATAACATACTGCTATTATCTACATTTTATGTAGATGAGGAAACTGAGGCACAGAGAAATTAAGTACTTTGCCTAGGATTACCTGTAAAGTTAAGTGGCAGAATCAGTGAATCTGGAAGGTCTGGCTTCAGATCCCTTGTGCTTAGTCACTGGCATACTTTACTGCCACTTTAAAAAAAAAATGGTTGAAAACACAAAGCCAACAAACCAAAAACAGTTTAAACATAGGCAAAGGTAGACCCACCCAGTGTTTTGATCACAGTACTCCTAAGGTTTATAATCAGAGGAATTTGTATTTGTATTCCCTGCTACTCTTACCTCCTATGTGGGATTTGGCCTTTCTCCATTATCCCTGTGGACTTGCTCTAGTACCTTCCTTCTTGTACTTGGAGTCACCAGAAAGTGATCTGAGAACATAGAAAACTACTGTGTTGTGGAACAGAATTACCTGGAAGGGGAAAAGGCCCTCCTGGCTCAATTCACATGTCAGGGCTTATTGTACCCAGGGAATATACAAAACTGGGCACTGAGTGTGGAGTCAGCAAAGCCCTGTCCGTCCTCTGGGTTTCTGGGAAAAACCGTAGAGCTCTTCATTGTCACTTTCTCCTGTATACTTTTGTTTTTACTTTTGGAACTGTACGATTATATAATAAATACCACAAGTTGTTGGAAAGATAGGTCAAGTTCAGAAGTGAAAGTGTTTTGGAGGAGTCTAAGCTCCTCCCCACTCTCATTGGCCTTTCCTCTCTAATAAATAGAACTGGTCTAGCCAAGGATCTGTGGAAAGAGCAGAGTCCTATGGAGATTCAGGGATTCCATAACCTCTTGTTGAATCACTAGTTTGTTTCAGCCACAAGAAGGAATTATCTTTTGGCATTAGCTTGAACAGCTGTTCTGCAAAGAACAACTTTTTGGAAAGAGTTCTGGAAAGACCAG